AAAAAACTTGAACTCTTCTCATTTTTTATTTTTATACTTAATAATGTTTAGAGTGATTAGGAACAACAACTTCTTTTTCTGTTGTTTTGCTGAAGCAGACACTTTGCTCCCATCAGTGTGTAAGTTGATTGGCTTCTCTAACAAAAGGCCGGGGGCTAATGAACCTTTTACATAAGTCCTTTTTTCCTCAAAATGTGAAATAGGATTTAACAGAAAAATAGTCATACAGACCTATACTCAAACAGCACTGAAAGTATAATTTTATTTAACTTCTGTCCTCTTCCTATGGCTAAGCAGATCTATGTGTGGACATATCCATTTCTATACATAAGCCAAGAAGATTTGGTTTAGTTAATCTTCTGTGGTTAAATCCAAACTGGGGACACATTGTAGAAGAAACATGTCCATGCACAAAAAAAAGGAAAGGAAGGTGAAGAGAAGAAGGAAAAGGAAGAAAGCAGAGGGAGGAAGGAAGGAACAGGAAGAAGGAAAAGAAGCAGTAAGCTTGTTTTCTCTGTGCAGGAAATGTTTTCTCTATAGCAACAAGATGAGTTCTGAGGTTAAACGGTGCAAATGTGGACTTTAAAGAAAGAAAGGTGGGCATATCAGAATCACAGAGTGGATTAAGTGATTTACTAGAAATAACTTGTCCCTTTGCTGCCCCTGTGTTTTAGCCCTATGCTATCTCCCAGAAGAGACAAGCCTGTCTCTTGATACAGTTTTTGATTAATTCCACTTCACATTCAAAAATACCAGCTCTCCTGAAAAAGGGTATTTCTTTCACACTCCATATTACACATGCCAAATACTTTATTGTACTAGATACAACCTCTAAACATTTACAGTAAGTGCACTTAGTAACAAAATTGTTTGCCAAAGCTCATTGGCTCTCTCAATACTTTTGAATTACAAACACGGCTTTATTTAAACAGGAAAAATTATCAGATTCCTGAGTCTCCCACATACACTTCTGGTTATCAGAATTTTATCACAGGCAAAAGGGAACATTTCATGGAGGCTCTTGTTAAAATGCTGGCATCTACCAGTGTGTTGAATTTCCATGTACCGCAGAAGACAGCAGCATAGCTTAAAATCCTTGTGCTCGGTGGTTTTTTGTGGCTTTTTAAGTTTGTTTTGTGAGGGTTTTGTTGTAATTGTTTTGGTTTGGTTTGGCTGTTTTGTTTGTTTTCTTTAAACATCAACCTCTTTTTTATCTTCTTGATAGATTTAAAAAAGAGGAGCTGGGTCAATAGCTTAGAAAATCCTCTAAGAGAGGAAAATGGAAGGAAGGAAAGATAAGGGCACATTTTCTTAAGGAGCTGTGGCTGGACAGGTGTGGATGTCAGTAAAGCTAACTCTCTATTGGAAGTGGCCTTTCCAATCAAATGGAAAAGCCAAGCAATTTGTCTGTACAAATGAGATTGCAGTTCCAAATCCCCTCCTTACAGACATCAGTGTATAGCACAGACTGATGCCTCACAGCAAGAACTGGTTTGAAAGGACACGACAGGTACACTTGCAATAACAGGAAAGCCCTTAACAGGACCAGAAAAAGGAAAAGCCTGTATTTCCCTCTGCAGCAAGTGGAAAAAATTAGCCAGTTTACTACTGAACTTTGCCAGCTACATCCAGTCTCGAGGTCAGAAGAGACCCAGAACAATGACAGAGACACCAGGGACGGGGTCACACCTCCATATGGGGTGGGGACAATGCCCTAGAAAAACGCCTTTGCCCACTCTGCTTTGCATCACCTTTTCACACAGACTGAAAGACAGACCAGGGGTGTTTGCATCAAAGCCTCTCCATTTGGTGGTGTTCTTTTTAATCCCACCTGGTAAAACCAATCTGTATGGTGAACTTTTATTTCTTTCACAGAAAAATCTGCATGTTTTTTGTCTGTGGATACCCAGTGCAGACAGGTCTGGCTGCTGCAGTGTGTCACAGACAGAAACCCTAGATGGCTTTACAGTAGTTAAGTAAGGTATCTGGTAGTTAAATATGGTATCTGGTAGCATACTTCTGGAGCAACACAAAGGTCAGAAAAAGCTACAAAACCTACTTCAGAAGCAGAGCCCACTTCAGTTTCCCTTGAGACACCACTCCTGGGACCCAGACTGGCCATGGTTAAACCCCTGCCCACCACACTACTACAGACCAACAGATAGTCCATGGAGCGACCTGAAAAACTTAATTTCAGTGCAATCCTATACTGGGACAAACTTATGTTGATATTCAGAAGTTAGCAGAGGAAGGAGAACGAAAACACTGGACATAAGACAGGTCTCTTCCTCTCAGACATCCAAGTTACCCAGGCTTAGTTTGCCCCATGAAGGTAGCAGGCCTGCCCTTACCTTTTCACCAAGTGGCCTACTCTGAGCCTTTGTTGCCTGATTGTTTAAATGCTGCTACAGCTGTGACTATTTGGCAAAGGCAGAGTTAAAAAAAACCCCATATGGCAACTATTAAAAAAAACTCCATTACTGATGCACTATGGAAAGAGAGAGAGGTATGCTTAACTTTAGGAATCAGCAAAAAAGCCTTTTTTCGGTCTGCCCTCTCTTCTATCTGCCCAGCTCTAAGTATCTCAGTCAGAAGCCAGCCTGAAGCTGCCAAGGGATCCCAGAAACCTCAAAATAAACAAACAAAAAAAAAAAGTGCTGACAAGAAAATCAGTGTGTCAAACATACATAGAATATATTTTCAATCTTTTATTAAAAAAGTTGTGCTTTTTCTGACCAATGGGTTACCTAGCTACTGTATAAATCACAGCAACAGGGAATTAAAATACAAAGGCCATCTTTTTAGTTAGTTTTCAGATTTATACTGCCACTGAAAATACAATGAAAATACATTTTCCTTGATCTGCAAATTATACACCTTTTAACAAACAACGTCCCACCACTACAATTCTGACACAAACACCATTACATTTGAACTTCAAGAGGATTTACTTGGACCAGAAGCAATCAGCAACAAAAGAATTTTAATGACTGTGGGAGGATTGTTGGTATTTTAAGAAGTCTTCTAAAACCTTTTGAAGAATTTGAGATAAGTAAAAATAAGTGGGGCAATCTTTTTCCCTAAGTACTTTGCACCATGTTTTCACATAGCAGAAGTGAGTTCTACAACTGCACAATGAGGCTGGAAAATCTGAATAGAAGTGCAAAAATTAAAAAAATTCTTAGATGACAACAAATGGCTGGGAATCATTCTAAGGAACACAGCAAATGAATCCTTCTATTCCAGGCTCTGGTTTTTATTCTCTTTGCTCACTGGAGCTTTAATTTCATTAGCTTGCAAAGAACTACTCAATTCACAGATCAGATTTCTTAAGGATATAGGAACAACATGGCAACAACACAAAACACTAATTAAATTGTTACACAGCAGCCATATGCTCAGTGAGTTCCTCTAGCAGAATTGTACAAGCAATGTTCCTCCTGCTGCATCTGATCTGAAACATTGCACTTCACCTTTTAGAAGAAAAGCCACCTGTTGTCAGACATGCTACTGGATTAATATACCTGACAACTGAAATTTGACTGCTGCTAAAAGTTCAAAAGGTTCACTTTCTTGAACTGTTGAGTGCCTCCTTGGGTTGAACTATGTACCTGGACAGCAAGTGCCCTCTGTCACAATCACAGTGATGACAGAAAACCTCCTTGGGCATCTGTCTTCACAAGAGGCCTTCGGGCCCACCCATGCTCAAACAGCCACACCACTCCTGTTTTCAAGTTATTCACCCCTCTCAAAATCCACCAGACTTCCAGCAGGTTAAACTAGGGTGAATGATTGCTGCTGTTTTGTAACATCATCCCCCCTCCTTATCTGGATGAGATTCAATAAAAGCATGCAAATAGCAGTGAAAAGAACACTTGGAAAGGGCAACCCCTCAGCTCAAAAACCCTCAGACCCTAGACTAAAGTGTCTATGATCTTCTACTTTTGTGGGGATGTTAGGGACAGCAAAAATGTTCTTGCTGGATCCAAGGAAGAAAGGTACTCCAAGCACTCTTGACAAAAAGAAATTATTTTTCACTCAGATAGGCTCTGTCTTTGGGGGCAGTCTTGCCCTCTCCTTTCTTCTGCTTACCTTCACTAGTTCAAGCATCAAGCAGGCACTAAGGAAAAAATATGAGCAGATTAGCAAGCAGATGCTTTTAAATGAAAAGGTTCATACAGCCTATTCTTCTGTTTCCCAGTACAATTCTGTGAATAAAACCAAATCAACCTGTACATTCAGTTGCTCTCAAATACAGTCAGAAGAAAGACTGGTTTTGTTCAAAGCAAGTGGATGTATTCAAAACCTTGGTCAACTGGCAGACAATGTAATGTCCACCTTCTACTCCACCTTCCACAGTGTCCACACAAAACTAACTTGACAGTTCAGGTGGATTTCAGTTTGACTGAAAGCAGCATCATAACTCCCACTTGATTCAGCGGAGGCAGGATTTGTTAACTTGTTTCTCTTCCCTCTCTCAGGAAGGAACTGCCTATTCTGAGCAATTTTCTGCTTGGAAGCATAAAATCCAAGCACCTCCTCAAAGCAAGAGATGATGAAAACACTGGGTTTTGCTGAGCTGACCCTCCACCCTCCATTTTTTTCCTGCCCAAATGGGAGAATATCATCCCTTAAGTTACATTCCAGTATGGTACAATGAAGGATATATATATCTCTGGGTTTTTTGTTTTGTTTTGAGGGGTTATTTTTTTGTTAGTGTGGGGTTTTTTTCTTGACTTTTTTTTTTGTTTCTTTCCCTTTTTTTGTATTTTTTCTTTTTGTTATAGAGACAAATTATGAAAAGAACAGTGCCAGGAATTTACTGTTGATATATTTTGCATTGTTAGGAGAACACACAGTTTCCTGGACAGAAGTCCCAAGTTTTTTATCAGCAAGGTCCCACCTTTGCCTAGATTTACCTCTCTTGATGAGTTTTGTTTACTATCAGTGATTCTTGGTAACTGATATTCACATGAGTGACATTTCTCTTCAAAACAGTCTCATATGAAAAAACCACCTGTTAGCTTAGGCATTTATAACAGTGTACATGTATGGCTCTGTAATATAGTCCAGCCATTTGCAATGGATTACTATCTTGCAAAGTGTCGACTTTACAAAATAAAATTGTGCCTTGGTTCTTAGTAGCCCACCGCTTTTGAAATGAAGGAGGCATAATTTGAATGGTACCCTACAAATACTTCTCAGTGCAAAAATGCAGCAGGTGTTTTGTTTTCAATTACCAGAAAGGTTCCATAAAAACATACCTTTTCTTTTTCGCCATTAGAAATGTTTTTTGCCATGAACAAGAAAAGCATTCCAAGAATATGCCATAAATACAGTTTTTGCAATCTACCAACCTGACTGTAGCCCTTTAAGAGCCTTAGGGATGTGTCCTACTTTAAGAACCTATCCATAAAAAACTTGGTACCCCTCACATGTTACAAATTTCATACTGTACTTCAAAGAAGAACCTTATATACATTGTGACTAAAGTACTGTTTATTTCATAATCTAAACAAACACTGGAATACAGTCTATGTTTTTCTACTTTCCGGCAGACTTTACAAAGAGCTTTTTTTTTTTTCATAATTAAAACAATCTGCATACACACAGAACATGCATTCTCTAACACCAGTAATGAAGGTAAGAAGAGTCAGTTTCCCTCATCTTCCTGTTGCCTGTGTTAGGAAAAAATACTTTTCTTTTTACTGTAGTTATGACAGTGTGGCTAAGGATACAAAGACTAGAGCACAGTTTTACTCCCTGCACAGAAAATGTTCATCACAAGCATGCTGATGGTGATACATATTACATGTCTATTAAATGATAGGCATAGTTTTATCCCCTTTACTCCCTTTTTAAAAATACTAAGTGGCTACATGTAAATGCAGTGAAGCAGGTATAAGCTTAATTAATCAGAGTTGATTCAGACTGGCACCAAGATGCAGCAAAGTCCAACAAAGTCTCAGCAAGGCTTTCCGTGGTTATTGATGGCCTCTTCTGCAAAGCAACTACTTTCTACTTTTTCAAAGTAGAAATCAAAGGCTTTGCAGCATGGCCAATCCTGTGGACAGGGCAGTCTGCGCTGGCACGTCAGGCCCCCGGAAAAGATGCACTTGTAGTCCATTAGTGTTTGAGAAAACGTGAGTGGGTTACCTTCCCTGGGGCCACGCACCTGCCCCGCCCGAGCGTCGCCCGCTGCTCTTTGTCGGTGAGGCGGCTGGCTGTGGCTTCACACCACGGAGTGGTCGTTGCTGTGGACGCCAGCCAAGATGGTGTGGTTGAGGGAGGAGGCTGACCGGTCCGAGCCTTCAGTGGGGCCATTGGCGCTCTCGCTGCGCTGGCAGCACAGGATCTGCTTGAACGTAGTGCTCATCTCCTTGTCCCGGTAGGAGTAGATGATGGGGTTCATGGCAGAGTTGAACTCTGCCAGGAGAAGGAAGAATTTTTCATAGGCCAGGACGTTGCACTGGGGACAGCAAACATCGAGGAGCAGCAAGACTAATCCTGGGGTCCAGCAGATTATGAAAGCACCTAAAAAGAGAAAGAATGGAAAAACCACAAAGTCTACAAATATACTTATGTACCATTACTCGTCAAAATATGACAAGAACCATCCAGACAGAAGCAGCAACGGTTAATTTTCTCTTTCAGGAGCATTGTTCCCACAGTCTCTTTTCACTGACCCGATGAGAGGGATGCCATTCAAAGATCTGTAAGTGGTTATGAGCAGCACATCAAAAGAGCAAGGCACACCCCCAAGCCCCAGGCCCAGCCCCCCACCATCTGAAACTCTGCTTGGCGAATACATTTACATTTAAAGTTGATAATGAGGAACATTTTTTCCCTTCAGCTAGGGACCTCTGAATAATCAATCTCTTGATCAGAGAAACAATACTGCAATTTACTTCTCAAACTAACAACAACAAAGAAAACCCTTCTATGAGTGACTGAAGCATCAGTAATAGAAAAAGAGTGGTGCAGGCAGCAATTCTCAAGAAAAAGAAAGCCTGGGTCTTGTTAACCCATTTCAGCCCCATTATGTAATGGAAAGTCCTAAACACACATCCTTCTTGCACTGAAATGCCGTCCTTCAACGGATCTACTTCTTTTCTTAGGGCTCTATTCAATCAAAATTCAGAGGCTCATCAGGCTTCAATAGTGTCAAAGCCACAGAGTCTAACACCGATTAAAATGCTTCCCCCCTCCTTTCTCTGTTTTCCAAAGCTCTGAGGAGAACAAAGCCCAGAATTCAGAGCTCAATGCAGAAATTAAATCAAATACTTTGTACTTTATTGGGAGGACTGAATTAAAGGAAGATTGTAACTCCTTGCAGGAGTTACAGGAGGTTAGAGAGGCTTTAAATATAAGCTCTGCTGGGGAAACCCTTACACACCAGTCATGTCAGAACAAAGACAGGGCTCCCACGATTTTCCAGGCTGCTTTACTGAGGTGGAAACCAATGTCTTATCATCGCTGAGCAGGATTAGCATGGGCAGCAGCAATAAGACTTCCCAGCACTACGCTGAGAACGCTGTTTTCAAACTGGTTCTCCTGTCACTGTGGTATTTATTTGTTTATGTACTGCTCCCGTTTTTATTACAGTGATGGTCTCTTGCAGTACTGGCACCGAAGTCAGTTCCCACACCAGGCAGACTGCCATGCCTGCCAAGAAGGTACCAGCAATTTCCAGCTTGGCAGTGACAACTGTAAGCTGTGCAGTTTGGACAGCAAACCCACCTAGATCAAATAGAAGAAGATTTTCCAAAGGGGTCTGCAAGCCGGCAATATACACCAGGTGACAGACAAAGGTTAGCAACCAGGAGACCACACACAGAGGCTTTTTACACACCAAAAAGCATCTCTAAACTGAGTTTTCTTGCAGCTAATGGTGCCACTCAATGCCCATCACTTTGCTGACCAAGAAAGTTCACCAATGGAAAGAAGCTGGGCGGTGAATTGCCAGCTGCCTGGCTAAAGCATCGAGCTCTTTCACCAAATGACTCTGTTAGGGTCTCTGGCAGCAGTTTGACAGCATGGGGATGAAACTCTCCCACGCTGAGGTGGCATCAAGCATATGAACCCACTTCATAGCGTTTGTCTTTTTGTAGCTCTTTCAGATTCCAGTAGTCCTAGAAAAGGGTATTTGAAACCCATGCAAAGGACTACAGGCTTTTGTCCCTTCCTTGTACCTGTTGCCATAAGAGTAGAAAACTGTATCTCTTTATTTGCAGTATTGTCCACGCTCCTGGAATCTTCCCCCTGCACAGAAAACTCTGCTGAGCTGCTTTTTGCAGAAACAAAGTCATCAATTCAAATTCAACCACTCACTGTTGAAATTGTGCATGTTGTGTTCAGCCTCCTAGCTAGTAAGGCAGCAATGGACTTTGTTCTAGCTTAAGCATCTATTTTCTTCACTGTAGGCTGCCTTGGGAGAATAACATCAGAAATGGGAACACTGCAAGTCATGGGATCTACAGTGAAGGACAAAAGACAATGACAGCATCCTCATCAGGCCTGTAGCAGAAAAGTCCAATGTGGAAACAATGGAGCTAGCAGGAAAGCTCTCATAGCATTGTTCAAAGTTGCAATTGAAGGCTTCCAATTTTCCAAAATTTTTTTTTTTAATCTGTTGCTAAGGAACAACAGAACATTCTGTTGGCATAATTTTTGATATGTTAGAAACAGCAACAAAAAGCTCTATAGTGAGGCAGATTGGAATTTCCTCCTGAGAAAGCCCCAAAGTCATCCAGAAAAAAAATCCACATGCAGATCACTGCACTGAACACTTGTCTCAGATGGAGCTCCTGAGCTCTTTGGGCTCCTCAGTATCTCAGACAGGTTCTGACAACCTATGTGCTGAGGCTTGATTGCCCGCACTCAAGAAAAAGTGGGCTGTGGTTGAGCAACCAACTAATTGCTCTGCGCAGCTCAAGCTACACTGAAAAATGATAAAAATAAAAGTTACCTTCCCACCCAGCTCTGGAAGGAAGTCACCACGGTGCAAGTTGTCACCTTTCTGCTCCTAGCAAAACATCCCCCCATGCTATTGGCTCTGGCACCTTAATGAGTGCTTGCAAATGGTGACCAAAAAATGCCTCAGGTTTGCTTACTTTTTATTTACTGTTGGTACACTGGAAAATACTGAGAAGCATCACTCATGGTAAGGATGTGTTTGAGTTAGGTACAGAGGAAAGGATAAATGTCAGGCTCTTAATACTTCAGATTTAGGAAACTTCATCCATTAAACATGGAATTCTTTTTCTGCAAGGAAAACAAGGATTGAATTTTTTTTTCCTCTTAGAATATTTGTTGAAGCTGGAAGTGAGATTAAATTCTTCCCCTCCCAGAAGTCTGTTGTGAATTGACTTCACCAAGAATGAAGATCTAAAAATACCACATTTAATAAACCAGAGACATCCAAAAACTTCCTGCTGCCATATACTGGAAAGCCTTAAGCACACACCAAAATACTGATGTTTTTCTGCTCAGAATCAGAACTGAGGGCAGTCTAAAGTACAGTGTTAGTAATTTCCAGGTGCATCTTAACATTTTACAAACTTGGTCAAATCTAAATTACAATGACATACAAAGCAGATCTGTTGCATTTAGTGCCTTGAACCTTTGTGGACATGCCATAATCATACCATGGCATGGGCGAGCCCAATGTACTTGGAAAAAAAGTGCAGACTTTATGTCTTTGGGCAGCTAAAGAGCACTGTTCCCTGGACAGAGAGCACCCTGGGATATTACCTCTAGCCCTGGCAGCTCTTCAAAGGCGATGGAACTGCAAGAAGCTAAATGAGCTCTTCAGTTGCAGCAGAAGGAACATTCCCATGGAGCATGGCCAAGGTCTGTCCTGAGGCTCAGGCCACAGAGGGCTGGGTGAAGAAGAAATGCCAATCAGGCTGAAAGCCCATCGGTGTGAATGGCTAGCCATTACACAGGAAAGCTTTAGGAAACCAGAGAAATAGCACATCTTAAAAGACTGAAAGGTCCCTACAGACTAGAGAAGCATGTCTTCCAGCAGGAATGAGTTACAAAAAAGCATTTATGACCTAATCTAATTTTCTGCTGAGGTGTGATACCTCTCATCCCAGTAAGAAAAGAAACTCCGACTCCTTGTGCATTGTCTGTCTTGGAGAGTTGTGGTAGAAGTCTACTGGAGGCTTTTCAAGGTCCATGATATGACTACATCTCATCTGTCTTGAACCCTTGTCTGTTGCATCAGTGCAGATTATGTTTCCATGGTAGCTGGATGCTGGAAACCCTTGGGTAAGTGAGACAAGGCCTCACAGCAAGCTTTGATTGCAAGAAAAACTATTGTAGGCAATAGGCATATGAAACCAGCCATGATAAATCACACAAAAATCAGTGAGTGCAAGAACAAAAGAGAAAACTCCAAAACCCAGCACCAGAAAAGAAATAAGATACACAAGAATAAACACTGATGAGCTAGTCACTCATTACTAGGATACCAGACTGGATGGCTACTCATGAAACTTCTTGTGTTAGCAGGCAAAGTGTTTCCTAAGCAGCCCTCTTTTTTTTTTTTTTTTTTTTTTTCTTTTTTTGTCTTTTGCCTTGGAGAGCCTATGTCTGTGTTTATTCTGTGAACATTTGTTTTCCTCTAACTCAAAAGAGCAAAATAAAAGAAGCACTTTTGCTCCTGCCAAGTCATACAGTGCTGTCCTTCAGAGGCTCCAGAGGGATGCAGCTCTAGTCAATGCACACCTATTCTGAAACACTCTTCTTCTCTGCCTTAGCCACACTGTGTCCCTTTCATGTGCTCTCTTCTATTCATCTTGTGTGTTAACCCTGATATCTGGCATGGGCTCACACTCACCCTGCAAATTCCTCAGTCTACGCAGAGAGGGAAAATATTGAAAGGGCCTCTTTTAGGGAGAGAGGGAAGAAAAAAAAATCTCTCCTGTATTTGCAGTTTTTTAAAGATTACAGGAATAGGATAAGGAACTAGCATATCAGAGACAGAAAAGATCCATTCCAATTGAACTTCAGGAACATTTATAATCTGCTGCTGTTGCCCTCCTACTCTTGTCCATCTGCTGTCCTCAGAGTGGTATTTGTGACAGGCAGCTGCAGCCCCTCTTTCTCTGGGACAACGTGACTGAGAGAGTAAAGGACATTGAACATCACTGCTATCATTGTTATCACAGATACCAACAAGGAGAAGAGTCCTTCTGCACTTGGTGCAGGCTAAAAGCAATGCTCTGGGAGAATGATTTGTTTTAATTAACAAAACCATAGCCAAAAGGGGCTGCAGAAGTGCCTGGCATTTTCCACATTCTGATGTAATCCCACCCTCATCAGGGAAAGCCACTTGCTATGCTAGCTGAGGTGCAAGCTCATCAGCTGCAACACAACTGCACTTCTTCATGTCCTAGCCATCTGTAAACTGTATCAATAGTCCTCCTTATCACACTATGCATTATCTTGTGCATAGCAAGAACAGAGATAAGTACTTCAAGCAATAGTGCCTATTTACAGCTATGTATTGTTTTCCCCTGACACAA